GTTATCCCAAGGCAAACCTTGGTCTGTTGCTTGGGACAAGTGGTGGGACGGTGGGACTCAAAGCTCTGGGGGTAACACTGCCTAACTGGATAGCAGTTACCTTGTTATCAGTTTGTATGGTATTTAATTGCTAGCATGTAACAAATTCATTTTTATTTTGGGCTGTGACTATAGTTCTAACCTTAGATCAAGTTAGGTTTGGCACTTTTTTTGGTGATTGAGAGGCTTTTGTTTCAAGCTGGTGACAACTATTACAGCTTAGTCAGTTTTGTATTGCACAGCAGTGCTTACCTGAGAAGGCTGGTTGATAAAAATACTGAGAAGTCTGGGATTATCATGGATCTTACAGCAAAAACCGCTACTAGATGCGGCAACTAATGCACCAGGAATGCTTATTGAAGGCTATTGTGCTCAAAGCAAATTCTTCAATAATACATGGCATTGATTTTTGCTGTATTGAATAGCATACAGTGTTTATGCTCTTCAGGATAAGTCAACAGGGTAAACAGATAGCATTCTCTGGAAGCAAAGTCAATACTAACTGCATTCACTGTGATATTAACTGTTAGTGTTTGCATAGAAAATGGTCCTTTCCCTGACTCTGTTTGGAAAGGATTATAATTTGAAGAAATTAAATTAATATTTTATCTCAAGATGCAAAGCAGAGAACGTCCCTAGGAGCACGTTTTGGAATTCAGGCTCTTTCTCCAGCTTTTACTACACACAGAAAATGGCAGTTCCTGTTGCCATCAAGGAGTGTGTGAAGCGGGCCCTATTCGATTTGGATTTGGCCTGAATCGGGGACAGTGATTGGATTAATTGATTCGGATCATTGTCCCTGATTTGATTAAGCCAAATGTGAATCTGAAGATTCAATGCTGATTCAGAGAATCGGCGATCAGCCATAGACACAGCTTTAAATGTTTTTTCTACATACCTCGAGGTATCAGTGCAGCTTGTGAACACTGTGATGCTGGGGCAGATGGAGCATCCCACTTTCAGGTCTGCCGGAGAGCGCACTGGGGGTCCCCCCTGCACCCTCCTGACTTGGCAATTGGCCATGGGGGAGCCCTGGGTGCCCCTCCAGACCCAGGAGGCACGAGTCGCCGAGCCAGGGGCGGTGGGGGGGGCCCCCCCCCCCCCCCGCACTCCTCGGTGGATCCAGAAGTGGACCAGAAGTGTTTCTGGTCCGCCTCTGGGTCTGCTGCTGAGCGTGCTGGGGACCCCGCCCCCCCGCTCCTGTGGGACACTCCATGTGCCCCAGCATCACAGCATTCACGAGCTGCCTGTTACCTAGAGGTATGTAGAAAAAACATTTAAAGCTGTGTCTATGTCTGAATCGCTGAATCTTTCCGAATCTCTTTGAATCGATTCAGAGGGTTCCGATTCATTTCGGCGAGATTAAAGGGTCCTCTGATTCTATTTGGATTTGGAGATTCAGCCACTGAATCAGGCTGAATCTCCACCGAGTCCAGTCAGGGACCGAAGCTTCACGCAACCCTTATTGCCAGCAGCACCTTGCCTTTGCCCTGCTTTGTGACAGCTACAGGATAGCATCAATGGTCTTGCTCTCTTCAGAGTATAGAAGCATGTTGTTGTTTATTTAACTTTTTGCTACTCTGGGACACTGTGTTGAGCAATGTGTAGTATCTGTACAAGATCTCTACTGGAAGGACAATCTTTAGCAGAGCTTGCAAATTGGCCTTCCACCATAGCATCTTTTGCTTTACATACAAAGGAAACATGAACTACTTCAAGACACTAGGAAGTTGGGCAGCCTTTGTCCCTTCTGAATTGCATAAGGCTGTAGCTTGCTTACTTGGAAGTGCTTAGAAATTCACATTGTATGCTTGCAAATTTTCATGCTGAAATACTAAACTGTTTCCTATGACAGTTTACCTCTTTAAGAATGCAGTTTTGATCAGCTCTTTGTGGTCTGTGATGTCACCTCACAATTCCTGAGCCAAAGGGTCCATTTTGGCTTGGACAGATTAAAGACTACATCATCCCAGAAAATCATTGCAGTCCCTTAACTGTATGGGCAGTCCAAGCACAGTAATGGAATCACTCTCTCTTGACTACAGAGAGGCTATGAGATAGCAGGTGTCCAGGGTACTTTCTCTTCCTCCCTGAATCACTTTTCGTGACTATGCTCTTAGCAGCTTCCAACACTTCATTATGAAGAAGGACCACTGGGTGAACTGTTCCTGCTTAAATAGACCCTGATAATTATCATAAACAGACCCAGCATGTATTGTTTCTGCAAAAGTGGCAGGCATGTAGTAGATGGAACCTCTGGGCAGAATATCAATGCCTTGATTTTCCAGCCTTCTGAGCAGCATTGAAGAGGGCCGTGAGGACCAGCCAGTGGAGACTGCGATATAATTGCTTGCCTAGAGCAGTAACATCTTTCTGCACACTACCTGAATACCAATGAGGGCACACAAGGAAGGAAGGTGTCAAACAGAATCATGGGCAAGAGAAAAATAGAGGTGGAAAAGAAGAAAAGTAATGGAGAGAGGGTATCCAAGGATGGAGTCTGAAGACAAGATCTGTGTAGTGTGTGTAATGAGAAAAGACTGGTATTTTAGTAGAATTTGCAGGAAAAAATTATCTATATAATGAATGGCTTAGAAAGAAAATGGAGATGGGGAGGGTGCTGTTTTGATCCAAAGCACTGATGAGTGAATACTCCTAGAAATGGGGAGGGAAGGGGAGCTGAAGCCAGGATGAGTAACTGAAAATTAGTACATCCCTTTGAGCTTGATTGCTAATGCAGCAAGAGCCCCTAATGGAGTGTTCTCTCTGTAATAATTGCATTCAATAACCCTTCAGTTGATTTAGCTTTGAGCAGTGTTAAAACTTGACATCACCTTGCTGTGAAACTGCCTGTGTAGGGAGCTGTATTGCCAGCTCCAGTATTGCTGATTTGCTCTCGTTCTGTAGTTTATGACTATAAAATATACAGCAGACCATCCATTTTCATGAATAGAAGGCTCCAAAGAAACAGCTTGGGAGCACAGAGTAGCCTTCCAACAGTCATTTCCCCTTTGCTGCTCCCTGGAGGTGTACATGACTGAATTGTCATATGTAGAATAGGGCATGGTAAGGAATGCTTTCCTCTGTCCTCACACTTCTCTTTCAGCTCCTTTAAGCTATGGGAAAGCACTAAGTCAGGTAATGCTGACTTAGTTTCTGAGCCATCTCTCCCCACTGGATACTTTTTGAACACCCAATCTTATTTTTGGCCCTGGCCTATACAGATCTTGGAGGGACTATGGTTTCAGGCCACTGAATATCAGCTGCCCTAATTTATAGAATAATGCAATGGAAACTCCAAGGGAAAACTTGCACTCACTTCTTGTGTGAAGCCTTCACCAATAATGGTTGATCTGGGTCTTGGTTCATAACATTAATCTATTCTGTGGTGATTCAGACTTGGGAATGTGAGAGTGGGAAGGCTGTATTAGTAGATCCAGTATGTTGGTGCCCTATGATTAGGGATTTTTCTATGTAAGCCTCTAAACAGCAGTCTGTTTTCTGAAGTTACGATGCTGGTGATATTCCCAAACCTGACTCTTCATCTCCCCAGTGAAAACCTGATTATTTGATGAAGATTAGTTGAATATTTGTAATCTTACGCAAAAGCAAGGAAGCTCATCAAAGTAGAAGACTGAGAAAAACAATTTGTTCTCTTGTTCTGTTATTTTGAGACTCGGGTTTTGCTGCGTAAGTAACGTTAATACATTTGGTTAGGGAGTGTGTTATGAAAAGAGGGTGCATGTGTATTTGACCTATATCCTGCATATTGTGTCCAGAAAGCTTGAAAGACATAATGGGAAAAAATGTGCTATTACGCTATCTCTGTCATTTTTCAACTCCATTAATTTTATTGTATTGCTCCACATACACACATTACATTCTTATCCTATTACAACTGAGAAGAGGAACAAAGACAAATTGAACAATTGCCATTTTTGACATCAGTAGATAGCTTTAAGGAATTCATCAATTTAAAGCCATGCTCTGAGTAAACACACTGCCATAGTTCATTAGTATAGACACACTTTTTATATTGGAATTTTTTTTATTGGCTTTGTTAGCAAATCAGTGAATGAGCAATTTCAGTTGCTGCAGAGAGAGACACCTGGTAAAAAGAGAATGCAAAATCTCTCATCTTGAGAAATCAGTTTAACATGTTTTATTTTTATTCATTCTTTTGGGATCCAAATATGTGGCTAATTGAAAAACAAAATTTAACAGTGCAATCTATTTTTAGCTAAGAATTAAGAGAGGATGACTAACATGAAAAAGAAGGAAATTCAACGTTGAGGAAGCAGTGTGTCCTTATATCAGAGGTGTGAAATAACTCTTGTTTACAAAAATACACCCACACACTAGCAATGTCTAAGCCCCAGTTCCTTTCCAAAATAAGTGTTCTCCAAGTGTTTAAAACTCAAACTTGAATCTGCTTGGGGTTGCAAACAGCCACGCTACTACAGAGTGTCCTTTCTGATCATTTGCTTCTTCCCACACTATCTCTGAAATGATCAGTAGAATTGCTCTTCTCTTCATCCTGCTTTGCAAGTTGTGAATGTGCTAATTTACAGTTCCTTATTACTGGTGTAGCCTAAAATGTCGTTTAAATAAATCGTGATGACTGAGCTTGTTTCTCACCTTTGTACTTCCCTATTTTGGTAAGATATGACTCTCAGCCTCCTCCTGCTGGACAGAATGAAAATGACAATTTTACCACAGTTCAAACAATAGGCATACTTAACAATTTTGGCCCCAAACATAGCATGTCAAATAGAGTTTGAGGAGGAATCAAACTCTTAAAACTTGTTCTAGTATTTCTTTCAGAGAGATGACTTTGGTTTGACTAGACTTTGGGGAATTTTTGTCAGTCAACTATATTTTTATTGGCCTCTTTGAAGTTGAAACAAAATTATTATTTGGTAAGGCAAATTTTATAGAATTGTGCTATTCTCTTTTTCCAGCACAAAACCACAGTGACACCCAAGTGTTCTTCTACCTGTGGATTGTCTTCTATTTCATCAGCTCCTGCTACACCCTCATCTGGGACCTGAAGATGGATTGGGGACTCTTTGACAAGAACGCTGGCGAAAATACCTTCCTTCGGGAAGAGATTGTTTACCCACAGAAAGTATGTATACAACCTACTTTCATTTTGGGAAGGGTTTGCTAACGATTTATCAAAACTGTTTGGATTGAGGGCACATGCTGCTTGGTCACTGGAACTTCCTAGATGCAAAGTGTTAGGTGATCCATACATTCCAAAGAGACAATACCATTCTGTCGTACATTATTAGAAACCAAGAGGCAAACAACATATTTTGATATAACCAGCAAGAGAATACGCAGCTTATGTACCTGGATATTTTACAACATGTTCTGTACCCTTTTTGACCACGTCCAGGTGAGCGCGGCCATGTATTATGTCTGCGGCGCCACATACCACACATTCAGCTGTTTTGCATGCTGCAGGGTAGCAGCATGGGGGTGTTATTTTGGTGCTTTTATCTAATAGCTGATTGAATCAGCTGTTAGATAAAAGCGCCAAAAAAGCCCAGCTGAAGTGCCCGATCTGTACAGATGTTGGGTGAGCCAGGTCAAACTAACACAATACCTCTTCTGGCCATGTGCTGGGCTTGGCGCAGGGGCGCACTGGGTTTAAGGTAAAGTGCTGGGTTTTTTGTTTGTAAGCAGCATAAATGTTGGTCTGTTCTTCACATGGACAAGTGTGGCCTTGCCTAATTCTTAGAAACAGATTTAGACAGATTGTTGCAAGCTCCTTAGGTGGACACTTATTTTAGCATTTAGCATTTTAGCACTGTATATCAATTTAGCTTACGCCAGTTAAGATTTGATGAATGTGTATACACACATACACACGCCCCTACTGTAAATCCTTTTCAAATAGGTTTAACTAGTTTTGTGTAGACAAGGCTTTAGATAACTCAAGTATTTAAGTACTGACAGAACCATATACCTCCCTTTCATTATGATATCTATATCTCTGATATAGATAAACTTAGAGTCTTCTGTCTGGGAATGGAAGGTGAAGGACAGGTGTTAAACTTGGTACTGTTGTAATGTCTCTGTGTGACATCTGTCATAGAGATTGCTTCAGAAGCCTTTAAAATGTAATCACAATAATATAAAAGTTAGCAAGTAAATTTGAAAGCTTGTTAGGACATGGGTCTTCCTCTTTATACTAGTTTGGCAGATGTAGAATTTGGAAGATGAATTGTCCTCTCTTTTTGCTTGCTCCTCAGGCGTATTATTATTGTGCCATTATAGAAGACGTGATCTTACGTTTTGCCTGGACCATCCAGATCTCTCTTACCTCCATGCAAATCTTTCCATCTGCGGGGGACATAATCTCTACTGTCTTTGCACCACTTGAGGTTTTCCGGTAAGGCGTCTCACCTTAAACCCTTCATGTCAAACTGTTTTTTACTCTTTGTTTCATAAAGAATAGCAGCAAGATAAGGGTGTATCTCACTTTTCACAAGTCTAGAGGTCACAAGCCTATGAAATGAAAAAGGGTTAGGGCTTGGAAAAAGCACTTAGCTTGATTGGAACATTGCATAGCATCCTTTTAGGCCCCTGACAAACATTAAAATAAAGGCATGATGGGATCTGATGCAGATTCCAACAATTGCACTTCCTGCCATGCCCCTCGTGTGTAATAATTTTCTGGCATGTTGCTTGTTTTATCATGCCATTAATCATGTGGCCAGGTCACTACTTAAGATGTGATTATCCAGTTAATCACTCCTTAAGTGTAATGTCTGGCAGGGGCCTTAGTAATCCAGCTGGAGTTCTGAAACCTCCAAAAGCCTAGGTTGTCACAACAAGGTTGTCACATGTGGTAAGGCAAGGTAGGCAAGTATGGAACCTGGGTTCTTCCTGACTGTATCCTATTTGCTGTGGACGTAGTCCTAATTTCATTTTGGAGGGATTTGTTAAATTCATAGTTTAAACCATTTCACTGGCACAACTTTTTAGTCTCACCCAGGGCTAAATTTGTAAATTTGCCCAAAATCATGTTGCTTTCCCAAGTGTTAAATGGAATTTTATATGGCTAGCATCAAGCACCCCCAGGACATTAATGTTTTCTGCATCTTTGAGCTGTCTCAGGAGACCCATCCTGGCTGCTTGAGATGAGCAAAAGAACTTGCAGTTGGATATCACTGCATTGGTTTTTAATTTAGTATGCTTCCTTTCAGTTGTAATATTTGGATTACCCCTGTACCAGCAATGTTGGGCTAATGCTTGCTGTTGGAACAGCGAATCAGAGAGCCCAATCTGCTTTTCTCCAAAGAAAAGCTTCTTCTCTTCTTCATCTGAGGTGTGGTGGTAGATGCTTCTTATTAATTGGTCACGTACTTATCACTCTTCTCTCCAAATGGTCAGTTGGTGCAACTTTGCTCTCCCAGGGGCAGTTTGTGATCCCAGGGGATAGCGTGCAGTAATATCTATGTATGTGACTGCACTGCTGCTTTGCAAAAAAGTGCTCATCTCTATGAAAGTGGAACTGATTTATTTTCATTGCAGTTACTTTTCTCCTTCCAGCCGGTTTGTGTGGAATTTCTTCCGTCTGGAAAATGAGCATCTGAACAACTGTGGTGAGTTCCGTGCTGTACGGGACATCTCAGTGGCACCACTGAATGCTGATGATCAGACATTACTAGAGCAGATGATGGACCAGGAAGAGGGTGTCCGAAACCGCCAGAAGAACAAGCAGTGGAAGCGTAGCCAGAGTGTTTCCCTACGCCGACCTCGCCTTGCTTCACAGTATGTAGCACAACAAGGCTTGCGTGGATTGATTTATTATTCATGCTGGTGTCTTAGAGATTATATGCAAACTAGCGAAATTGCCTGTCAAGAATGGTGGGGACAGGGAATGGAAGCGGGGGAAGGGAGGAGCGTGCCTGGGCCCAATGCGTGGGAGGATGGGGCCTGAGGGTGCGGAGAAGCCGGGCTGCTGCAGTGTGGGGGGAGTAGTGGGCCCAGGCCCACCTGGCGGCGGCAAAGGGCAGGAGGTGTGGGCTCGGGGCCTACGCAGGAGAGCAGGGGTGAGGGAGGAATGGGTCTGGGCCTGATGCGGGGGAGGAGGCTCACTTCTCCCCTCCCCTTTCAGCTGCCATGTTGGACTGGGCCGGACCCACTGTTTCCCTTCCCCCTCCCACCCCCCATCCATGGCAGGCCAGCTTTTCCCTTGGCTTGGGTCGCTTTCCCCCTGCCCCAGTGTCAGGCCCAGGTCTGGTCCTCCCCTGGTCCCACCATCACCGCCAATGCCATGGCACACCTGCTCTTCCCCCCACACGTCGGGCCCGCTTGGGGACAGGAGGAGTGGGCTCAGGGCCGATGCAGGGGAGGGGGATGGGGGAGGAGTGGGCCTGAGTGGGGTAGGAGGCCTGTTCTTTCCCTGCCCTGGCTACTGCTGTGGTTGTGTTGGGCTGGGCCCGCTGTCTCCTACCCCCCCACCACAGCGGGCCGCCTTGTCCCCTGCTTGGGCCTGCTCCCCACTCCCCGCGTTGTGCCCAGACCTGCTCTCTTCACCCCCACGTTACCTGTCAGCCAATCAGAGCATGAATAAAGCGTTACAGACAGACAGACAGACATAGGCTTTTATAATATTAGAATACTTGACACACATCTAAATTATTTGCAAGAGTGAATTCACCCAACTTGTAAGTAAATCCTCCCCTCTGCTTCCCTTCTTCTCTCAAGCAAAAGCCTATGTAGGTTTTGGCAGTTTCATCGCACCCTGATAGCTATACAAGTTGGGGCTCTGTCAGACAAGTGGTAGAAGACAATTTTAGAGTTGAGGGCCTTCCATTGAAAATATTCTACAGCCACAATGATGAGATAGCTACATCAAGCACTTCAACCTATGCAAGCTGTTGTCTTAGCTCTGGGAAGAGGCAGTTCCTCATGTAGCCAGGGACCAAACCATGTAGGGATTGATGCATACATATCAATTCCTTGGACTGTGCCCAAAGCTAATCTGTCAGGCATAGATGGAATATGCTCTGTTCAGTCAGCTTCACTAAGCAAGTGTACTTCTGTAAGATGCAGAGCTTGATTTAGATCAACATTTAAGACTCAGTTTGTCCCACAGACATGCAGTGAAGTCATGCATCTCCTAAAATAAGCTGCTGTCCCTGTGTGAAGCCCAGGGACAGATTGAATTCAGAGTAGTCTGCAGTACTGCATGTCTGGCAGGCTTGATTTCTGGTGTAGGTAATTACATGCATCATCTGCTGTGCATTTATCTATATGCAATGAATAAAGAATTCTATTCTGACAGATAAAATTTATTTTGGTTTAATAGGCTCCAAACTGATTTTTTATACTTTGTCCCTTGCCTACTGTACTGTAGTAGCTAACCAGTAGAGGGCATTGTTTGCATGCAAAACAGCCTGTATTGGAAAGACAAGTACAGAGGGAAGAAAGGAGCTACCCAGCCTTCTTTGTATCTTTATGAGGTTCAGGTGTTCCCAAGTGGAAGCCAGAGAGGGGGAGAGAATTACTGCCTATCTGCTGGGCAGGACTTTACCTGAATAGGAAATATATTAAAAAACTAGTGTCCCCACATAAAATGTGTATGTTTTGTTTGTTTTCCAGGTCCAAGGCTCGTGACACTAAAGTACTGATAGAGGACACAGATGATGAAGCAAACACATGAAACATCCACAGAGTCATGTTCCACATCCCTTGTTTTCTTGATCTATTACCCGTTTCCCCAACCAACCCAATCTCTGGTACGGTTCCAGCTGAAAACAGGAGAAAACACTAAACACACTTTCCGAGCTCTTCCGGACCGGATCCTATGGACTCCAACAAGCTCACTGTGTTTCGTTTAGTTTCTTCTGGTTTAATTTTGATTTTCTATTTTTAAAATAAATATTTTACTTCATTTTGCCAATCAGAGGACAGTTCAGAAAAGAAGTATCTACGGATTGTTTACAATCACAACAAGGACACACACAAAAAACCTATCTGGTTGAAGAACAAGCATCATAGGGACTCCCTGATGGGACACTACCGAGAACACACTTGGCTTCTGCTTGGCCCGGTTTTTACTGGTTGAAACCGGACTTGGGTTTTTAACTCTGATTTTTTTGGGGTTTTTTTTTCCTTCATATCCAGTGCCAAGGCACTGGCTGCACTTGCAGGGAAAGTGCATTTAGAGCAGTACCTTCATTCACGAAGCTACTTTTTAATTTGATGTAACTTTTCATATTTTTTTTTAAATATGATGTATTTGTTGCATATAGTTTTCACATTATTTATGATACTTAACAACCATATGAGAATGATTTTGAGTCCTGTGCAATGAAGGTTGTAAAAGTAAAATGAGGCAGAGGGGTGTAGATCTGGATTTTTCATGTGGGTTATTCCCTGCAAATACCTCTTCCATGAGATAATTTGCTCCAGTTTGACCTTTTATTCTATTCTTTTCTCCTTTTAAGAAATGTTCTTCTCAGTTTAGTTTTATTTTAAACCAAAGTTTCTCTTTTGAATTTTAGTTGCTGCTTCTGCGTCAGAAGCCTGGACATGTCTCACATGCCAGTTCATCCTTGTCTTCCCATGTGGCTGTGGGAAAACAGTGCAGATGATTCTGAGAACTTCTTGAAAGGAAAGTTACAATAAATCCTGCCAGGAGTCCATATACCCAGGCAAAAAACGGGTTTGTTCAGGTTAGGAGCTATTTTATCAAAGCCTTAATCTTAATGAGATGAGGCTAGGGCACTGTTTACCCCTATATTAAACAGAGAGCTTTTCCATTGTTCTGCTGCAGCTAGATACAGAAAAACTGACATTGAATGAGAAGAGAATCTGATCTTGTGTGTGTGTGGGAGGACGGTTTGTTACAGGGATAGTTCAGAGGTAGGTCACTTAGAGAACTGACACCCTGGAGCTTATCATGGGGCAAAGAGGGATCTGTATGTTGCCCAAAGGATACAAATCTTGGTCTTTTAAATGCCATTTTAAATTGTACAGCTCACCTGGCATCAACCAAAAGCGTGCTGCCCAGTTGCATTTTCAGCCTGGTCAACAATGACTTTAGCAGTGGGCCAGACTTTCACTGGAAGTAGACTAGGGTAAAGGGCATCTTTACAACTTAGTGAATTAAGTAGAAATGATGATTCCAGCTTGATAGAAATATAGCATATATTGATCTTCCCCACTTGGAAGAAAACAACGTGAATGTTTGTTTGAGGACTGTGCACAGCACCATTGGGGCTTTAGTGTTTGCATAAAGCTTCAACATGTATTACTACTAAGCATAACATTACTTGTGCCCTACTCTGCTGCACTGAAGGCTAATACCAAGGCCCTAGGGAAGCTACTTCAGTTTCCACTGACCCTTTTTCTGTCCCAAGGCTCAAGTTTCTCAGCAATTGAAGTATCTGAATTCTTTTGGGATAGGGCATGGTCACCATGACTAATATGCTGCTTCCTCGTTGTTAATCACTCTTACGTGTATCCTAAGTACTTTTAGACTAATGGCACTGCCAGGGAGCTAACTGCACGCATTTATTCTGAGGGTTGAGTTGGAGGTGAAGCCCTTAACTAAGTCAGATTAATTTTTTACTTGTTTATTTACAATTAGATGGTAGGAGTCTTCACTCAGTTGCTATTAAGTTATTTGTCTTTCATTAGCCAATCACACAGCTTATTGCATCTGGCTAATGCATTGCATTTTCTTAGTTTGCCTGCTGTGCCTCTTGCCCAGAGGAACTAAAGAAGGAAAACTTAATTGTATTCATATATTTTAAATAGAGCAAAATAACTTCTATTTCAGTAGTAGTGAGCCAGTGCCCCTTGGCAGAGTAAGAGCTGCATTACAAGTATCTAAAGTATTGCCAGCTTCACTGTGCAACCTGAACTTACCAAGGAGCTTTGTTTGATGTCCCAGGAAATGCCTAAGCATTATCATTTGATTTGCTGAATATGATAATGTCATTATGGTGGGTTGGATGGTGTGTATATTGTGTTAATCCTCCTGTGCAGCAGCTGGGGTTGGCTGGTATTACAGGCCCAGTCCACTCCAATGAAAGGGAATCTGAACAATGCAGACTAGCATAGAATTCTGTAGTTCACACTTTTGGTGCCCAGGAGTCTAGTTCCCCTCCACAGTATTGACTGACTCATGACCATTGTTCTGACAGACAGATGCATCTGTTCATCTGGAAGTGGAGTCTATGATGACGAAGCCCTGCATTTCAGTGATTTTTTTTTTTTTGTCCTTTATTCAAAACCTTCTATTCAGGTTATAGCACACAGGGAGTAGAGCTCTCTTATGTGGAAGGTAATGATGCACAGTGCTCTGGCAGTGAATGGCTAGAATGTCTTCAACAACTAAAACTCTCAGAGAATAGTGAGGCCCTGTGTATCAATAGGCAATTTAAAAGAAGTAGCATCCCACCCAAAAGGCACAATCAGAACTAATGATGCATCATTACTTAGCAAGTATTGCTTTAAAAATAAATTGTGCTTACTGCAATCTCTCCTCTGCGAAGCAAATGAAAATTAACTTTGCTATAATTACAGCATCTGAAAATATTTTGTAATGTGGTACAGAGGAAATTTAAAGCATCATGGAACAGTTAAAGGAAACAAAACATTCAGTAATTTTGAGCTCAGCTAGCAGAACTGAATGTTTGGGGAAGCTTACCTCATATCAGTGAGTGGCACTGTGTGAAATGATTAGATTTACAGCTGGCATTGAAGGAAGAAGCTAAGAACAGAGGTCTTGCTGGGTTTCCTTCAGTAGTGCATCAAAATCCACAAGGAGAGAACTCCCAATGCTGTCTAGATGTCCGTTCATCTGCTTCTTCACCTGCTTTCTTTCCACTGTTCTGTTACAGAGCTCTCTACTATTTCCCTGGTAAAAACAAAAACAAACAAAAAACCAACAAAAAACAAAAACATTTTGGCAATGAAGATACCCTCTGCAGGGAAGGTACCTAGAACCCAAGTCAGCATCCCTGAGTTCCCAGCAGCATGGTTTTCAAGGTTGTTCAGTTTTCAAGATTGCTGTTGCATGGGCTTGTATTCTGTGACTGCAGAGATTTTGGAAGTTAGCTTTGAAGACTGGGATGGTTTCATGTCTAAATGCATAATATTTGGCCCATTGAATGAGATCTAGTCAGGCAGATCTAGCCAGGCAGCTGGTGACAGAAATATAGCTCTTCTAGTGAATGTTCTGCGAAGTAAGAGTGAGGAAATGACTTCTGTAATGGTCATTTGCACTGCTACTGTGGAAGGAAACAAGTATTATTAACAGATCCAGAATGTGGGGTGAGGGCAGAGCAGGAACTGGGTTTTTAATTTGATGGTTTGAACTACCCCAAGGAGGGATGTTGGGACAGCTAGGAAACTGTTCCCAACTTCCATAAGCAAAAGCTGGGAAAGGCCCATGACTTGGTTATCCTACAACCACCCTCCCTTGTCTCTGGTCATGTTACACTCTAATAGCAGCTGGAATTGAGGCCTGACCAGAGTTCTCCTTTGTACTCAACTGAGTTATAAGAGCAGGAAAGGGGTCTCCGATTTGGCTTTTGGATGATCCCATCCACAGAAGTACACAACAGTGTCACCTCTGATTCTTGCTTGGAGGCTCCCTATACTCTTGGAGTTCAGAGTCCAGATTGTCCAAACTTATCTCTAGCTAAAGGTGGCTTCTTCCCTCCAAAATTTTGTAGGGCTATGTTGGTTAAGCAGATCCATTCCCAAAATGCAAGAGATTCATTACAGACAGTCTACACACGTCTGATTACCTGGATGCTTCCTTCAGCATCTGGCTGTACTTCATTAAAATGAAATTTTGATCCTTGTCAAAATGTTCATCCTAAATCCCAGGTCTTTCCTACTTAGCTTTAAGGAAGAGCAGGATCCCTATCCTGGGGGTCCATAAACAGATGTGATCTGAGAGGCAGGATGAAGTTGGTGGTGAGGGAGTTAGGAAGGAAATGGATTTTATTCATGGGGCAGGCTATAGATTTACAGAGCCTGACTCGGCAAATAAAAGCCAAAATGCCCAGAGGCTCTTTATTAACTGTAATTGGTTTGAAATGAGAATGACTGTCACTCTAATTTCCATGGTTGCAGCCTGAATGCCCCTGCATTTGAAAATACAGATATAGCTGAGGCAAACTTTGCCTGCCCTATACCTTCATCCATACCAGCTCCTCTGTTCACTGTTATTGTCTCGAATGCTCATAGGAGGGTACTGACAATAAAGGTCTTGAAGAGGCAAGACATGGCCATTTGGAACTAGGGACAAATCTTTATTGTAGATCAGGAAGATTGATCCTCATCCTTTGGGAAAAAAAAAAAGAAGAAAAAAAAAGAAAGCTCTTCTTGCTACCATTCTGTTTACCTTTTTACATGTTGGTTCGTCTAACTTTCAGTAGCCTTTCACTGCTATTCACACTACAGGCCCAAAGAAACAAATTCTTTTCTCCCTCGCTCATGTCTAATCAGCTTCTTGTGTCCAGCATGTCTTCTCCAACATGTCTCAATGTAAACCTCCTCAATTTACCCTTCAGTCTTTGTTTCTGGCCTGACACCTGCACATCAAGGGGAGAGGAAGAGTGCATTGGGCTTTGTAGCATTTGGCTTTGCCAATCTTGACGCCTTTGCATCCAAGATCACAAAACATCGCAACAATGTTTCTATAGAGGGAGATGGAGGTTGTAGTTGCCCCTGAGCCAGGTTCACAGGGAGCTGAAGATCCCTTTTTATTGCAAAACTCCAAGAAGTGATGGAGACAAGGGCCAACTTTTTCAAATGTGATTCAGCTACCCACCTTAAGGCATTTCACACTTTAAGTACCAGAATATAATGGCCTGACTTTTTTGAGAGGCTGAGTTGCTTGTGGCTCCCTTTGACCTCAGCAGAAGTTGCGTGTGCTTGAGTGCCTCTGAAAAACCGGTAACTTACTTTAAGTGCCCAATATTAGGACACGCAGGTTGGGAAATATCCCATCCCAGGCGTTTTGGTGATTCTATAGGTCCTGCTTGATAGGCAGGATGACTAGGGTGCTGAGCACCAAACCGACATCGTTGGGATTGAGCGATTCAACCCAAGTGCTGCCTTAAGGGCTCCATAGTCTCCTTCATTCTTTCTGCAGCAGTCTTAATTAGCGCTAAGAAGCTGTTCTGTCTCAAACCCTTTTTTTCTGGAAGGCTGTGGGTTGGTTTGGCTTATTGGGGAAGTGGAGAATTGAGACTCCTTGGGGAAGGGTGAAAAATCACTATACCAACTTTAGACATTGTCAGACTCTCTTAGCCATTGACCCCCAGCTCAATAATGTGACACTAAAAACCTGACTTGAGTCCCAGAAAGGAAGTCATTGCATACATTGGGGCAAATATAATTATCTACCGTTGGCAATGATTTCATAGATTCCTAGAATGTAGGCTGGAAGGGACCTCAAAAGATCATTGGGTCCAGCCCCAAGTAAGTAATCAAGCTTCTCACCTGTTGGATTAAGGTCATTACTACAAATCTTAAGGTGCTCGTCACTAAAGCTATCAGAGAAATGCAGAGTTTCCAAGGGAAAAAGGGCCAGAAACACTGAGATAAAGTCTGGTCCCAATTCCCCTGCTGCCCAGGCAGGGCTGAGCTTGCTCTGTTCTGTGCCACTGCAGCGCTGTGATGGAGGTGAGAGGACAAATCCTGGGGCTAGAATTAGGCCAGAAAAATGCATAATTCCTTTCGGTTCTTAAAGCCAAATTGCGAGCCCTATTCAGCACACCGGAAATCTCTTTAGCCTGTTACCTTGCGACTTACTAGTTTCCTTACTATCCTGTAGATCCTTCTATCAAATGAACAGTATTAGGAAGGGGGCTGGGGTGGGAATGTATTTGCCCCTTCAGCAACCCCCTTGTCCCACTGCCATCTTTCTCTACCCCTTCTCCCCTGCTGTGTTGGTCTAAATGATTATGAATCCCTGAGCTGTAGATGTCAAAAGTAACTATGGAATGTGATTAGTCCTCTGTGGGTGCTTTCTTTCTTTCTTTTTCTCCTCCTCTCTTTTTCTGTCCCCTTCTCCACTCTTTCTTTTCTGGCTAAGTGGAAAAGGTGAGGACAAAGACTTGCCGCTTGCTTGGACTCATGATGTATCTGTGACTGCGCTATTAGCTGTCCCCTTTTCCCCCCACCCCCTTCCCCCAATGGATCTGAATTTGAAGTGTGGCATACCCTTCCTGATAAGTAGGTTTTAAAAAAAACAAAAACATAAAAAAAAAAATTACTGCACACTGTGGTACTGTTTCCTAGTTCTAGGTGGTTGTGTCCCAGAGTTCCTGTGGTTCTGTGTTTTTAAAAGGAAAAAGTGATTGGTTACTAAAATCTGTCCTTTTTCATTATTACAAGCTCTTTGTTTTCCAACGCTCTGCTGCTGCTGGCTCCTTCTTCACCGCCTCCTGCGCCTCCCCCCTTCCGCGCTGCCCCGCGGGTGAGGGCGCGCAGC